ATATGAAGTTTCTCATTCACTTTTAGCAGACGCTATGGAAGAAGATAGGAACTAAACTCCAATTTAGCAGCGCTAGTCATCCCTAGATGGACGGTCAAACTAAAGCTATAAACAAGGTTCTTGGCAATTTTTTTTATAGTTTTATAGGGAAGAATTTGAAGCAGTGGGACTCATTCTTGCTCAAGTTGAATTTACCTACAATAACTCTATTAACCAAGCAAATGGGAAGTGTTCGTTTGAAGTTGTTGATGACACTCATCCCATTAATTCGTTAGACTTGACCCCTTCACTGGATAAGTGACAATATAGTTTTGATGTTGACCAAAGGGCTAAGGAAATTAAGAAGCTATATGAACAAGTTTGTGAATGAATATAAAAGCAGAACTTGAGATACAAAACTCAATGTGATAAGCATCGAAAGTATCAAACTTTTAACATGGGAGACTCAGTTTAGATACATCTATGAAAGGAGCGATTTCTTAAATAATCAAATGCCAAGCTGTCCCCAAGAGCTGATAATCCATTCAAGATTATGCAAAAGATCGACAACAATCCTTATAAGGTAGAGTTACCTAGTTCTTATGGAGTGTTTACCACCTTTAATATTGTTGATCTATCCTCCTACATTTACGATGATGCCAAATTTGACTAGAGGGTGAGTTCTGTCGAACTTTAGGAGGATGAAATAGAAATAAGAGTTGCAAAAATGAAAGTATGAATGCTTCATTCACATCTTAGAAACATCCCACATTTAACAGCATTAAAATCCATTTGTAACTTGTGTAACCTCCATTTTAATCCTTTTGTTTTTACTTGGTAATGACAGTATAAAGAGGGCACAATTTCAGTGTAATGGCAGCTAATTTTTAGTGAATAAATGAGTGTGCCTTTTTTTGTTCGGTTTCTGTGCCATAACATCTTTCATAATGGCAATTAGAAATTTCTACTTTATATATTGAAAACAAATTACATAGGAATTCAAATTAATTAAAACATAATTACACAAAATAAATTCCCTTAGTTACCTCAAACCTTTAAGTAGTCAAAGGTTTATCCCTCAATAGTTGCTTTCAAAGCTTGATGTTAAGCCAAATTTACTACTAGGGATAATTAATCTACAGTTAATCAAATCCACAATCATCAATAACATCATTTACAATCTCTTAATTTCCTATTTTGATACTTTAAATATTCCAAAGCCTTTATGTCTAACATTTAAGCTTAGCTACTGGGCTCATTAACTCCCTTTAGCTCTCATGAGTTTAATTAAACTTTTAAACCATCATTAATGGCTCCCAACAAATTCCAACTTCTCCATTTATTTCAAATTTTTAGGCATTAATGCCCTCCCAACTACTAAAACTTGCAAACTCCTAAATCTTAGGTTTAGATACCTCAAACAACTCCTATTAACTCTATTCAAATTAATGAATTTGGACCTATAGCCTTTATGAATCAAAAATTATTTTTCCAACACAAACCTTACCTAAAAAATCTATAAAATGGAAGAGAAAGGAAGAATGGGGCTTCGAAAACTTACCCTAAGTGATTGCAAACTTTAAAATGCTTTCAAGTCTTCATAAAACTTGGGTTTTCTTCATCACCCTTTGTCTATCTCCCTCTATTTTTAGTCTATTTTGTGACTTATTACGGTCATATTTTATTCATACACCACAGTGCATGTCACACACGTCACGATATGTGGCACAAAGAGGGTTCTTTCATGTTTTTGTTACGTCATGGCATATGGTACAAAGCCACTTTTTCTTATTTTTCTCTCATTTTAAGGTTTGGGTGACCCAACCTCGCTCCTAACTCGTATCAAAGGTTGAAAGCACAACATAAAGCACTCGTTAGTCCTGTTTGTCCACATACTACATTAATCTCACTTAATTACCCTTAATTAATTTGATTAATAGGAGTTTTAATTTTTAGGATGTTACAATGCACATCAATTTTGGACTAGCCATGGAGGTAAAATGAGCTTTAATGTTAGAAAGTATAATTTGACTTACAATAAGAGGGATGAGTCTGTCCTTGCTTATTATATATATGTTTGTAGTAAGGAGGGAGTGCAAAAGCCAGACAAACGAGATTATAAAATGAAACATCTTTGTGCATATACTAGAATGGATTGCAAAGCAAACATGATTGTAAAACTTATGGATGGAAAATGGAGAGTGAATTTGTTAGTGCTCATAATCACTCTTTGCATCCTCCCAATTCATTGCATCTTTTACGGTCCCAATATAAAATAGGTGAAGCTCAAGACAAGGAAATAGAAACTACAAATGATGTTGGGCTTCAACAAAAAGCTATATTTATTTTGATGAGTAGGAAGTGGAGGTAGAGCTAATCTGGGATTTACAAGAGAGGATGTCAAAAGTTATTTAAGGGCTAAGAGGTAATGAGAAATGAATTTGTTAGTAAGCATAATCACTCTTTGCACCCTCCAAATTCATTGCATCTTTTATGGTCCCAATGTAAAATAGGTGAAGCTCAAGACAATAAAATAGAAACTGCAAATGATGTTGGGCTTCAACAAAAAGCTACCTTTAATTTGATGAGTAGGCAAATTGGAGGTAGAGCTAATATGGGGTTTACAAGAGAGGATGTCAAAAGCTATTTAAGGGCTAAGAGGTAACGAGAAATGAAGTATGGAGAAGCTGGATCTTTATTAAAATATTTTCAACAATAGTTGGCAAAGAATCTATCTTTTTTTTCATGCTTGTCAAATGGATTTTAATGAGCAAATAACAATTGTGTTTAGGGCTAATCCTTAGATACTAATAGATTATGCTTATTTTGGTGATGTTGTTTTATTTGATACAACTTATTGCACCAATCATCAAAATAGACCCCTTGCTATTTTTTCAGACTTTAACCATTACAGAACATGGGTAACATTTGGTGCTGCATTATTGTATGATTTGTTGTTTTCAGTGGGCGGATGAACTACGGTCCATGTTTAAGGAAGCAGAAGGGTGTAGAAGCAGGCATGTGTCTAGTGTAGATGAATATAAACGGAACGAAATTTTATCATTCGCCTCGGGGCCAATTATCATTCCTGCAGGGTATCTTGTTGGACAGAAAGTGCCACAAGCTACCGTAGAATGTGATGAAAGCAATCACAGCTCTTTGAGGTTATTAGTCTCGGTGGACGATGCCTTAATGACATCGATGGCTACCAGCTGGTGATGACTCTTGATTTTTTGTTTTTCTACAGTTGTAACTCAATAACCGAATGAGATTGATTACGCTTGTGCAGAGGGAAAAAAAGAGCAAGGGAAATTTGTCAACTCAATAAGCTTATGCGCTTGATTCGTAAGGCCGGGACGGCAAGTGAGGAAGAGGTGATAGAGAAGATTAAGAGAAAGATTGAGAAGACTAGGAAAGAGATGCTGAGATTAGTGTTGCAGAAGGAAGCATGTATGGTTCCAGCTGAAATCAAATATGTGCACTGGAAAATGATCAAATCACTTCACGTGATTTATCAAAGGAAATGATGTAATTCATGCAAAGGAAATGCCCCATGAGTTGCTTAACATCAGAGATGTAGTTCTCAACCATCCCATCGTTCTGGATTCATAGGCTCTCATTTGACAGTAAGCTTTCAAATTAGATGAAGCTTATAGTTACCGTAAATAAATCAAAATGAGATTCAAGAGATGCATACTTTAAGAAAAGGAAACTAATCTACAGATTGGCTTACTAAAAATACGTTGAATATGTCTGATGATTTCATGCCTCTAACTGAGCATCCTAAGGATATGTAGAAAGCATCCAAGGCCTATACTCTCCCTCGCTTTGCTCTCTTGATTTTATCGTGAGATTGCAACCCAAGCACATAAAATTTCAAGGATGGAGTTTAACTGAAACCATACTTTGAATATTCTCGCGGCCACAGGCCTTGTGATTTTCTATGTTGAGTCACGGTTGAAACTTGAGACTTGAACGATTCAGCCCTCTGGTTTGAGAGCAGAGTCGCACACGAATAGAGAGAATAAAAAAAAAAACAAAGGAAGAAGGGAAATTACTTGTTTGAATAAGAAGACCATGGAGTTAGAAGAAATGCTATGAACTATTGGCCACTGGGTGTAGCAAAGTTAACGTAATAGTCAAATACTTTGTTTTCTTTCCAACGTTTTCATCCTTTAGTGCGGCTTTATGCAATTGTGATAGAGAATTTGAAGATGACGACGACGATTAGTAAAATAACGTGGGCCATATCTGCCCACAGAGATTTTTATTTCCTGTTTTATTTAATCAGAGGCGTATGAAATTAATTATAATACTATTTTTTAAAGTGAACCGAAGTACAAAATTAATCTCAATTTTGCCACTAGTGGCTAGTTCTGAGGATACAAGGTGGGAAGTGAAGGTCTAAAGTTGAAACCCCCGTAATGTATCCTAAAAATAGTAATATTATAATTATTAATTTATAAAAAATATTTTAATTAAAAGTCTAAAAGTTAAATAACCAATTTTGCCACTAGTGGTTGCGTTTGGATGCATGCTGATTTTGATTTAAACCGACTGCTTGTTTGGGCAACAAAAAATTCATGGATATACATTTGGATTTAATTCCAGTTCCAAATTCTTTTTCTATCATCGTTACTTCATAATTTGTAATACTCTCTAAATCCCTGTTATTTGAAATACCCTTCTCTTCATTATGTTAAATTCCGTCATAATTTAAAATATTAAATTTATGGATTTTTATATTAGAATCTGGAAGTTTTAAAATTAACAATACAAGAAATTTTAAGTGTAAAATTTTAAACCTACAATAAGTCAAATCTATCCATCTAAAGTACGCTACATAAAATTTTCAGTTTTACTCATTTTAGAATTACATTATTACTTTACAATATACATCAAATAAATGTTAAATAAACTAAACCGTTGTACAAACTTGACATAATTGCCAACCTCTCGTGCTTATAAATAATGCATCAAATATCGCCACAACCATATTCATTGGAAGAGGATTACTACAACAACGTCCCACAAGGAATAAGCAAACAGTACTGATGGCTTCTCACTCCACCATTCATCACCTATCCAACCACTCTCTTCCTTGCCCCATTAATTCTCTCCCCATCCATCATTCCTCTAACGTGACCTTTCATGGTACGATCACTTTAAGAATACAAACACACACACACGCGAATCTATCCTCCTCTACAAAAGCTTACATAGTATTATCGCTTATGCTGTTATAGGGGTTTCGCGGTTGAAGGCTAGAGTCATCGTTTCAGCAAAAAACTCTGAATTCATAGCAGATTTTAGAGAAAGAAGAAGCAGTAGCATATCAGCTGAGAAGATAACTTCGTCAGAAGTGTCACAAGCTGAAGGATTGACAATTCCAACATGTAATTGGAATGGGATTAAGGTTAAAGTAGAAGATGAGGAAGCTTTAGAGGTACGTGGAGTTTAAAACATTTATTCTCCATAATATAATCTTGATGCCATGCATGTTCTTTATGGTGAGTTTTTGGTGTCATGCACATGCCGTTTCGGTTTGAAAAAGGATTCTGTAATGAATGAGGAGATCAGAACGAGAGTGGAAGCCATTAGAATGAAGTTAGAGTCAAGTAAAGGGGAAAAGACCATATCACCCTCAGCTTATACAACATCTTTGGTGGCTCTGGTAGAAGATGTGAATGGGAGTGGGGCACCCCATTTCCCAGAATCTCTTCAATGGATAATAGACAATCAGCTTCCAGACGGATCCTGGGGAGATGCTCATACATTTTTGGCTTATGATAGGCTTATTTGCACCTTAGCTTCTGTTATTGCGTTAACACACTACAACGTTCATCCTGAAAAAGTCGAGAAAGGTAGCTGAATGATCAATATTCATATATATATATATATATATATTGGATTCATGTATATTAAACGCTCGAGAAATTTATATTCAAATGTTTTATATATATGCAATTGTTTTATACATACAGGGCTTAAATTCTTTAAGGAGAATGTAAACAGATTGGAAACAGAAAACACAGGGCACATGACATGTGGGTTTGAAGTGATTCTGCCAAAACTTCTTGATTTGGGACAAAGTTTGAAAATTGATCTGCCCGATGACTTCCCTACCCTCAAGGGAATACTAGCAAGGAGAGATGCTAAGCTCAAAAGGTACATAACATATCCACTACTATTTTTTTTAATTATAATAAAAAGAATCAAGGTAGCTAGGATTTGAGAATTCTCAGCATAGTCCATCGATCATGCTTTATTCAAATTAAAGAAAGTGTTAGTAGCGTGTAAAATCACAATGACAATAACTCATGGTTTTGAACTTATATATATAGGATACCGATGGAGGTGTTGCATAGTGTACCTTCAACGCTGCTGTTCAGCTTGGAAGCAATACCAGGGCTTCAATGGGAAAAGCTTCAAAGAGTGAGAAGCAAAGATGGCTCTTACTTGTTCTGTCCCTCTTCCACTGCTTTTGCTTTTGCCGAAAGCAAAGACCCTCATTGCCTCAATTACTTAAACAACGTCGCCCAGAACTTTAACGGCGGAGGTGTGTATGTGTGTCAACCTAGAGCAAACAAATCCAAGTGGTTTTCTGGTTACTATTACGAATCGTATATAATTAATTATGCAACGTACTGAAATTAATTAGTATAAACCTCGCCTGGCATCAAATTATGAATGATAATGACATTATTATTTATTTATTTTTCTGAAATTGTAGCCCCAGATTCTTTCCCCGTAGATTTTTTTGAGCCATTATGGATTGTTGATCGATTGGAACGCTTGGGAATTGCAAGATATTTTCAACCAAAGATAAAAGAGATTTTGGATTATGTTCACAGGTATAACTACCTCTTCTTTTCGATTAACAAGAGTTACGTTGTTCTGAGGATTTTATTATCTACACATAGGCTCACGATCTATTTTAAAAGATTTATGTGTACGTACTCTTAGTCTAATTCAATATAAGTAAAGAATTCTGACCAATGCTGGCTAACAATGTACTTTTTCAGAAATTGGAACGAGAGAGGCATTGGATGGACAAGATACTCAGATTTGCCAGATCTAGACGATACATGTATGGGATTCAGGTTACTAAGATTGAACGGCTACGATGTTTCAGCTAGTAAGTAATAATACCGTTTGTCAAATTAATTACAAATATATATAGTAATTAGTTATTAATTTTTCTCTATAAATATCTATATATGATCATATTTAAAATGAATTTAAAGAAAAATGCTAATGAATGACATTGGTTTGGTGTGGTACTGAATAGATGTATTTAAAACATTTGAGAAAGATGGAGGGTTTGACTGCTTCCCTGGGCAAACAGATGAAGGGGCATCAGTGATGTTTAATTTTTACAGAGCAACTCAAGTTCAATTCCCAGGAGAGACTATTCTTGATGAAGGCAACAACTTTGCATCCAATTTCTTGACTGAGAAACGAGCTGCTAATCAGATTTTTGATAAATGGATCATAGCCAAAGATCTACCTGGCGAGGTATATATGTTACGTTGTTGTCAGGTTTACTCAATAGTGAATCTAATTAGTCATGAAGATTGTTGGATTAAATCTTTTTGACCACGAAAAAAAAATTAAAATGATATGAAGATATAGAATATTTGTATTTTTCAATCGTTAAGTTCTTTATTTAACAATAACAGGTTAGTTATGCATTGGATTTTCCATGGTACGCAAGTCTTCCTCGTGTAGAGACTAGATTTTACTTGGAACAATATGGTGGTGGAGATGATGTCTGGATCTCCAAAACCCTTTACAGGTAATTTTGTTTTTCAGATATTCTACCATAACTTTTATACTCAACTCACTTGTAGTTTGTTTTCAAGTTGAAAAGATGAGTTTTTTTTTTTTTTTTTTTGGTGCAGGCTGCATAAGGTCAGCAATAACAATAACCTTGAACTTGGAAAATTAGATTTTAACAAGTGCCAAGACTTGCATCGCAGAGAATGGAAAAGGATTCAAGAGTAAGCAGGAAAGCCTAATTGCTTTCCCTTGATTTCTAATACTGGAAATATCTTTCTAATAAATAAATAATATTTTGTTATAGGTGGCACTCAGAATTTGGATTACAAGGGTTAGGACTGAGCATAGAAAGACTTCTTTTGGCATATTTTCTGGCTGTGGCCAACATATTTGAGCCCGAGAGATCACAAGAACGAGTTGCATGGGTCAAAACTTCTGCTCTTATTCACACTCTTTCATCCACATATCGTGATCTACAACAAAGAACAGCCTTTGTGCAAGAATTCAATAACTGCAGCACCTCCTTAAATGATCGGTAATTACACTCACTGTTCATATATATATATATATATAATTCCACTCGACTTAATAAAATCATTATTCAACGTACTTGTATGCGTTGCAGATGGCTGAATAGAAATAGGAGCAGGGAGGGGTTATTGAGGACTTTGATAGAAACTTTGCATTGCTTATCTCAGAGCTCAATAGCTGCTAGCTTTGATATTCTTCATGATGCAGTAGGTTCTCTCTTGTTAACGAAACCATTATTCATCAACTTTCGATGATAATAATTAAAAACAGGATTGACTAATTGGCAATACTTTGATCCATTGAATGCATGCAGTGGAAAAAGTGGCTATTGGGATGGCAGAGCGAAGGAGACAAGTGGGAAGGAGAAGCTGAGCTGTTGGTGAACATGATCAATATTAATGGTGGTTACCAACTTTCTCATGACTTACAACTCAATCCTCAGTACCAGAGACTGGTCCAAGTGTCTAATCAACTCTGCCATCAACTACGTTCTCTCCAGAGCACCAAGGTGATTGCTTAATTACCAACTTCGATCATTAAGCATCATTAACAAATGAGATTATCATATCTTTTTAATGGTAATACATGCATGCCACAATTCACTTGTGTGTGTGTGTGTGTGTGTGTTTTTTTTTTTAAATTATCAGGAAAACAACAATAATGGAAGCTTCAAGGCCAACACAAGCGTCATCTGCAGCCCAGAAATTGGGGCAAAAATGCAAGAGCTGGTGCAGTTGGTGCTGTCTTCTAATGGCATGGATCTCAACATGAAGAAGACATTCCTCACAGTGACCAAAAGCTTTTACTATGCAGCTCACAGTGATCCACACACTATCAACTCTCACATTGAAAAAGTCCTCTTTGAGAGAGTCATTTAGTGCATGAATAATCGCATGTTGATATCGTGAGAAACTCGCAATAATCCCTGTACTGTATGACATGTTATTCTATGTACGTCTTCTAATAAAACGATGGTTTAGATTGGTTAATTTTCTCCCCATACTTAAAATACAAAAAGATTATGCCGCGTATTCTTTTCATGATTCATTATCAAGTCTAAGTTCAAAACCAAAAGGTTGTTCATGATGCTTGATCAAGTCTAAAGTCTCTCTCTCTCTCTCTTAACAAGTCTAAAGTTGATCTACTTTATATATAATGAAAGAAAAAATATATTACATTTGTAAAGTATTATCTCCATTCAAAAATATAAAGCATTTTTTGAGAAGTTAAATATTTAAAAATGTAAGACATTTTTAATCTTTCGAGGTGTAATTATTATTATTTTTTAAAGTGTCCCTATTGATAATAACTCTATATTTATTATAGGGTGTTTAATAGGGGTAAATATAAAAAGATAAAATTAATTTTAAAATATGTAATTACTTTATTGGAGATAAGATTTAATTAAAAATACCTTACATTTTTTAATAGAGGGAGTATCTTTTTGCATTAAAGTGCCAAAAGGATTTGATAAACTTGAATACGATATTTGCCTCGCCTCTTTTGTTATTCTAACTCTCTTGAAGCATAATTTCTTTATTCGAATTCAATGTGATTGATTGTTCTAAACTTTTGAAACAGATTCGTGCATAACTTTCCACAAACTATTTTGGAAATCATTAAAATTTTTGAAAGATATGTTTCAAACAAACTTTTCAGGAATGACCTCTCTTTTTTTGTTGAGGTTCTTTGCTTTACTATGATAACTTGGGGAAGAGTCCAAGTGTTGTTAATCATGATTTTCAGAATCTAAGCAATAATTCTCTCGGCGATGTCTTCTAGTTAGTCACGTCACGTCTTTTCTAGTTAGTTATGATGGCTTATATACTGAATAGGATGAGCATTAGAAGGCAAGAATAGATAAAAATGTTGGCACGTTTTAAACATCACTGCATGGGATAGTTGGCGAGGGACTTTCTAGAAGGCGGACTGAATGCATCTGACTAGTGATCCATCATCCCGGGCGATGTATTTTCTAAAGAAGGGTTTATACAGACTTTCAATAATCAAAATGCTTACTCCGTCTTTTTGGTTAAAAAAAAAAATTAGGTGAGTTAGGTAATCTTTCACTAACAAGGTTTTCATATCAGAAATAAGATTTGATCTCATAACCTTATGAATTATAAGACAAACCCTTACTAATTGGACCAGGTAATAGAATTATTGGAAATAAAATAAAGCATCTATATTTTCAGTTTGTATTAAAGTAATAAATTGTAAAATATAATCACCGTCAGATTAGTGTTTTTTTTATTTTAGTAGTATTTTTTGTCATGTTTATCTTTCTTCATTTTTTTAAAATTTAAAATTAAACATACTTGATTTTAACTACAGACATTTTCTATTTTTATATAAATTTATTTTTATTACTATATTAGCATATTTTTTATTTATAAAGGTTTAATTGTTTTTTTTTTGGATAGACTATAAAGGTTTAATTTTAACATATGAGTGATAGGTTCATAAATAAAACAAGACACTTTATATTTTTAAGTTTAACGTGCTTAAGAGTAACAAAATATTTAAAAAAAAGGATAAATGAGCTAGTTATCTCCTGAACTTTAAATTTAGTAGCATCATAGATTTTGAACTCATTTATTATGCAATTTATTCTCTCAACTTTTAAAAATAGTATAATATAGCTCTTGTTATTAATAAAAGTTAACTTTCACCATTAGTTGACAAAAAATAATAGAAAATGATATCAAAAATTACAAAAAAAACCAATAAATTATAATAAAAGACTCAAAAATTACAGATAAGAATCCAGAAAATTACAAAAAAAAGATCAAAAATTTTTTTGGTCATGTTTTGTAATTTTTAAGTCATTTTGTGGTCAACTAATAATTAAAATTAACTTATATTAACGATAAAGGTCAAATTACATTATTTTTAAAAGTTGAGACAATAATTTACATAATAAATAAATATAAAATTTATGATATTATTGAATCTAAAAATCAGAGATAATTTGCTCGTTAAAAAAAATAAAAGAAAAAGAAAGGTTATAAGAATAACTTCCAACCAAAAGGCGTTATCGGAATTTCACTGTAGATGGAGATGCGCCTCTGACTGAATAAAACCGGGGATAAAAGTCCGTGGTGGACCAGAAAAAACATTCTTATATAATTGCATAAAGTTGCACACGAGAAAAAAACACAGTATTTGACTGTCAGGATGACCTTTTGCTTTAACTTAATTACCCAATATATGGTCAACCCTTTATAACGTTGTCTCTTCCTATGGTCAAAGAAGTAAATCAGTCCAGTGAGTTGAAAGCCGACTGTTTCGACTCATAGTATCTACTTTTCTAACACTCTCTCTCTCTCTGTTTTTTCTGTTTTCCTCTCTTCGTCTTCCACTCTGCTCTCAATCCAGAGGGCTTGGATCGTTCAAGTCTAAAATTTGAATTATGATTCAACATAGAAAATTACAAGCTGTGACCGTCAAAATAGGGGGCTTGTTCGTAAATTTTTTTAAAATGTTACTTTCTGCATGTTTTTAATATTTTTTCAATCCACAAGTTTTAGTGTACGTTATACACCATATCTCTTTGACTCACTCGACCGGTTTAAAAACAGCTAATTCATCGAGTTTGAACGAGTCAAGAGGGAGTTTCAGTTTCACCGAGTTTTACACAAAGAACAGGTTTATATGTGGTTCCATTTTCTCGATTAAAAATATTAACTTGCTAAACTCAACAAATTAACCCGCAGGTATGTGGATGATTTACCTTCTAATTCTTTGTTGAAGGTCAGATCTAATTGCGTACGTATTATGTGACCATATGTCTGACAAAACTTTTCGATACTTTACAACTAACATATTCATATGGTTGTATTCAGGGTGAAATATTCAATGTTTTTTAAGCAAAACTGGGGGTTCAAATATTGTGGATGAAGAAACTACGTTACAACTTACAAGGTCTTTTTAGGCTCCATAGGTTTGATATTTTTATCGGCTGGAATAAAGAATACAAATTCAAAGAAATTCTTTCTGTGTCTCCTATATATATCGATAAGTGAGAGATAGAGAGAGGACCAGACACATTGTTTTTGTTCCTACGAAAAATAGATTTATGATGTTTGCACATACGAGCATGTCTCTCTCTCGCCCTCACTTGCCTGCTCCGGTTTTTCCAGGTTCTTCTTCCTCCTCCTCTTGCTTTCCTTTACATCATTACAGAAACCTAATGCCTTTCTTCGTATTTACATATATGTCCCAGCAACTTCAGTTGGATCCATAGCAAAGGATAAAGTTCAGAGCAGATCTAACAACGTAAAATATTAAACCTTTCCATTTCTTGTATATATCTACGTAGATATAATTTCAATAATACGCCAAATAGTTTTTAAGAAAATAATAAAATGGTGAACTGTATATATTAAATGCAGGTGTTGGAGAGGAATAAAGAAATAATAAAAAGATGTTTGATAAGGTTGAATTGTCTGTATCAAGTTATGACACAGCTTGGGTAGCAATGATACCATCACCTTCTTCTCCACAAGCTCCTTTATTTCCTCAGTCCTTGAACTGGTTATTAGAAAACCAGCACAGGGATGGATCATGGGGTTTTCCTGATCATAATGAGTTATTGACCAAAGACTCTCTTCTATCAACTTTGGCTTGTGTTGTTGCACTTAAGCAATGGGGTGTTGGTGAACAACAAACTAATGGAGGTATTGATATCATCATCTTTCTGTCCTCCTTCATCTATCTTTGAATCTAAGTATCTAATTAATGAATATAGCTAGATTCTTTCCGAGTACATTTGGAAGGTTATGGCTACGGTGCTCATCATTGACATCAAAACCACATGAACTTTTTATATTACGTATGTTTGATGGTAGTCTACTTTATCAAAATAGTTTAAACCATTTGATTAAATACACTTTAAGTTTTATATATTTTTAATCTATCTTCAAGATATGGGACTTTGATTTCTTTATCTCAAATATTATCTTTACTACTCTTTAGTCTTATAGGCCTCAAGTCTATTCAATTTCTTCTTCTCTCTTTCTTTTTGAATCTCTTGTCTTTTTTTCATCTTTTCATTCTTTCAATTTTTTCTTTTTCTCAATTTTTTTTTGTTTTGGTCCCCGATCGAATGGCTCATGATATCGTATTAAACATTTTATGTTAAATATGCTTGAGAATAGTTTACTTTATCAAAATAACTTAAATCATTTGGTTAGACACACCCTAAGTTATATATATTCTTAATCTATCTTCTATCTTTTAGATGTACGACTTTAATTTTTGAGATTTGGACTAGATTTAAAATATTTATTTTATATTTTTATTCAAATAAAAAACTATGAAAAATAATAATAGATTTTAATAAATTTATTTATTATCAATCTAGTCTGGATTTAACTTAAAAGGTTTAATTTAATATTAATTTTTTTATAATTTTTACATATTCTAGATAGATATATTTTAAATAGTAGTCCAAACTTAACATCAAATTTTTTATAATTTTTATTTTAATCAATATAAAATAAAAAAAACACTATAAATATGGATCGTCCTGATTCATTACCCGATGAGCATCGCAGTTCCGCACTTGTGTCGAGGTAGAGAGATTAAAAAAAAAAGGGTTTGTGGGTCCACATGTTATTGGGAGGCCACAGAATCCTCAAAAACACCCCCCTCCCAAAAAAAAATATGTTGTACTTGAAGATAATGATTGTATATCTTCTATGTTATTGAAGGACTTCAATATATTGAGTCCAACATTGCTTCAGCTTTTGATGGTAAGCAACATTCACCCATTGGATTTGACATTATCTTCTCTCATTTACTCGAGAAAGCCCAAAAGTTGGATCTTAATGTTTCTCTTGGAGAAAAACGCTTCGAGAAACTGATCCAACAGCGAGAATTGGAGCTCAAAAGGTACGCACCTTTTTCCTCTCATCTTGATGCTCTCTGTGAACGCTCCTACAGAAAATTTCCTGCGTAGTAGTCATATTTCGTTCAAAGAATCTGAAAGCAAATATATATTACATGAGCTCTTTCATATCACAAACTACAGTGGCTGGGGAAGCAACTCAGAAGGATGGAAAGCATATGTAGCCTACATTTCAGAAGGACTTGGGAAGTCCCAGAATTGGGAAATGGCTCTGAAATTTCAGAGAAAGAATGGATCTTTATTTAACTCTCCGGCCACCAGTGCAGCAGCATATACTCATATTAACAATGCACATTGTCTTAATTATCTGGCTTCATTGTTGGAGAAATTTGGGAATGCTGGTAATTAATTTGTCCATTCAAACTTTGTTGGATTCATTTTCTCTTGACATCAAGTAGATTTTTAGACTAAGGTTTGTTGCGCTTATATGTAAATTCATTCTTTATTCAGTTCCAACAATACATCCCTTTGATGCATATGCTCGACTCCACATGGTTGATAGTCTTGAAAAATTGGGGATTGATCGACATTTTAATGAGGAAATTGGAAATTTAATGGATGATATATGGAGGTAATATAATAATATTCAAGTTTCCAAATTTGATTTGTGTGAACGACAAGCTTGAACATGAAAATAATTTGTATTGTCAGGAGAAAGAAGACTACAGAATATAATTAATCTATTTCAATTTTCTATTTGATTTTTAAACAGAATGTGGCAACGAGAAGATGATGATATATTTTTAGAGCCCACCACATGTGCCATGGCATTTCGGTCACTGCGTTTGCATGGATATGATGTTTCTTCAGGTTTTGTTCTCTCTTGACACAAATTCATTTGTGGCTCAAAAATTAACGATATGAAAGAAATGGCTAAACCTGATACTTGTGTATTTCAGACGTACTTGAAAGGTTCTCAGAAAGCAAATTCTGCAATACCCTTCAGGGTTATTTGAAGGATGTCGAGTGTGTTTTGGAGTTACATAAGGCTTCACAAATAGTGTCGCATTCAAATGATTCAGTTTTGGAGGAACTAAACTCCTGGACAGGACACTTTCTTGAGAAATATTTGTCCGCTTCCTCAAAAAATACTCATAAACCTTGTAATCATGATGACGCGGTATTCAAACATAGTAATCTCAAATTTTATTTTGGTTTTCAACTTATATATCTACATTTCGAGAATTATGATCGACCATAATGTGCTGCATATGAAAAACTAAAAAGTTTCATATCACAAAATTTCAGGTTTCTTTTGCTTTACGTTTTCCTCATCACGCTTATTTGGATTTGATGCTACACCGAAGATCTATAGAGCACTACAAGGTGGATCAAAAGAGAATTTTGAAATCTTCATATAGGTACATCACAATGTCGCAACTTACTCTATTATATCTTGATGCCACGTACCCACATGCATGGGATCGGAGCTTCTTGAGTTACTTATATCAATTAATCACTTCTTTTTCTACGTCTCTTCTTATTCAGTTCTTTGAACCTTGCAAGTAAAGAATGCCTGGAACTGGGAGCGGAAAACTTCAATCACTGCCAATTATTATTTTTTGAAGAAATCGAGCTATTTAACAGGTGAATATCTTTTTCAAGCATCCAAAGCTGATCACATATACATTGAAAATTTAAGAAATTATTTTCTATTTTCTTTAGAACAGTTCTTCATACGCTAAAACATGTAGTTTTTTCAAAGGCCAAGGCCACGTGATTATATGTGTTTGTGGTTTTTCTTCCAAGCAACCTTCTACTGTTATCACTAATTATTATATCATATCTCAAAATAATCAGATGGCTTAGGGAGAGTGGAATGGAAAAGCTACATTTTCCAATTTCCAAAGCAAATGTTGTCTATTCCTTCTTGTCTGTGGCAGCAACATTGCCCTCCCCCGAACTCCGTGAAGCACGTTTAGCATGGGCAAAGCATGGCCTTCTCACAGGTGTGTTTGATGATTTCTTCGATGTCTGGAGTAATGAAGAGGAACAGATGAACCTCATAAAGTTAATGGACAAGTACGTACGTACGTCAAAGTTTCTCTCTGCATTATTACTTTGTTGAAGATTATTGTGTTTTTAACGTCGAACCGCACAGGTGGGACGTAGATGTCAACAGTGAAAATTGTTCTGAGACAGTAAAGATATTATTCTTAGTACTCAAGAAAACAATAACTGAGACGGCAACCCAAGCCTTTAAGGTTCAAGGACATAGCGTGTTGAACCACTTGATTCAGATGGTAATGATAATCATGATCTCAATAATATCCATTTTTCTTGTTTAGTTATCATCATTCAATAATGCGTTTGCTAATCATATGTGAATGTCTACTTTGTTTTCAGTGGGTGGATTTATTGCGGTCTGAGTTAAAGGAAGCAGAATGGCTTAGAAGCAAGTGTGTGCCAAGCATAGAAGAATATGAACGAAATGGAATTACCTCAATGGCCTTAGGACCAGTTATCATGTCAGTAGGGTACCTTCTCGGAGCCAAGCTTCCACAAGCTATCACTGAATGTGCCGAATGGAATTACCTTTTAGAGGTTGTTAGTCTATATGGGCGATACCTCAACGATGTCAACGGCTACAAGGTTAGATGAGTCTTTTTCCTTTTCTGTTCTGATGTTTAAGTTTGAGTGGCCTTGAACTAATATGAGAAAGATGATTATATATAGACCTGAGTTTTGGGATTTTAAATTAAGATATGATATTCTTTTACCACTTTTCACTCATTTATTCTCCCCCCCCCCCTTAATTTTTTAGGTAGTCGCTGTCTATTCCTGACAATTTGTCAATTTTCTTGTGAATAATTAAGATTTGCGTGTGTTTGCTTGCAGAGGGAGAAAGAACAAGGGAAACTGGTGAACTCAGTTGGCTTGAGGTTGATTCATGGGAGTGAGGCAATGAGTGAAGAAGAGATGAAGAAGAAGATAAAGGGGAAGAGTGAAGAGAAAAGGAAAGAGTTGCAGAGATTAGTGGTGAAGGAAGAAGGAAGTGTAATTCCAAGAGATGTGAGAGAGGTGTTTTGGAAAATGTGCAGAACACTTGGGGTAATTTATAGAGAAGATGATATCATCCATGAAATTGAGGTGCCACATGAGGTCCTCAACATCAAAGACATAGTACTTGGCAACCCCATCATTTTGGCTTGACAGTTCTGTCAATTAATTACTTCAATTGGATTCTCCCTCTTTGTTTTATTAAAGGAGAACGGTACTTAGGTTCTAAGTGAAATCAATTATTTTAAATTAAATGCCAACCAATTTTAAAGTGCTAACAAAATTTCTTGGTCTTTTAATGATAAAATATCAAGTCTAACAATTCTAAAAAATTTTAAGTTCAACTCTTAATTTTATAATTTTATTATGAAGAATTTATAATTTTTTTTGAAATTTAATAAGTATTGTTTATTAAACATTTTTATTTTTCAATTAAATATGAACGTTTTTAATCTATGTTAAAATTTAAAAAATAAGTTGCAAATGTAACATAATAAAGTTGTAAAATTAGTAACTAAATTTGCAGATCTCTTAAGCTATAGGACTTAATATTTTTCAACTTTAAAAATGAACGTTTATTTCTTGTTAAATTTGAAAAACAAGTTATAAAGGCATCACAATAGATTCCAAATTTGGGAGTTGAACTTGCAAATTTTTAAAGTTATTAATTTTTTACTATTGAAGAACTAAGGGAATTTGTTGCACTTTAGAATTGGTTGAGACTTGAATTATTTAGTCTCTTTAAAATTTAATTGTCATTCTTCCTTTTTTAATAAATGAATAACTTATTTTTAAATAATGTTTTGTGATTCAATGTTACGATCAATACATTATATGAGTTAAATTTGATGTCAAATGAATTACATTAGATTTTGGGAAAATTATAAATAGGTTCCATATAAGACACTTATTTATAAACAAATCCTACAAAATTGCAAAACCTAAATGTATTTTCACAAATTCATGAGATTTTCAGCATATTAAATGAGTAGTTCTCATTTTCAAAACAGGGGGTGAGGTTTGGAGTGTTTTGAAATAAAAAAGTTTGAAAGAAAGGTAGATAACATGAATAGGTAATATTACAATATCGTGCAGTTGTTTCTTTGATGGAGGATTGAAAACTATGACGTGTGTTTACCAATCAGTGACCTCATGAATATCTCAAAATATTTTTAACATATTTATTTAACGAGATTATATATTTCAAGATTTAAACTTGACACTTCAATATAAACTGATTCAACTTTTTTAATTAGTTGAACCAAACACTCCTCGATAATAAAAAAAAATATTTTATTGTTTAATATCCTAAAAATTTTAGAGTATTATCATCTCCACCTGTTGAAACTAATTCAAATCTCACTATATGGGACTGCTTTTACCAATGGTAATCTCACAAGTACCTCAGGAATGTTTTCAACATGCTAAATATTCTAGAACTTGAACTCGAAACCTCACAATAATAAGCTGATTTGATTCGATCTCTCAACCAGTCGAAGCACACACCACTACATGTATATTTAATATACGCGCGCGCGCGCGCAGAGTGTGGAAAAGAATCAGAAACCGATAAGTCATTAGTAGCTTAGCAGGTATAGGAGACTTTGCTAACTTAATTCAGAGAATGAGAAATAACTTAGCCGCATTTGAATCAGCTAGACTTGCTCCCTCATTTTTAAATATGAGAGAAAACTATTCTATTTTATTATTATTATTATTATTTTAAGCAATTATAAATTTCAAGAAGCACCAATTACATTTTTTTTCAAATTATCCCTCATAAATGGATATCATTCTAATATCATTAAATTAGGAAGAAAGTAAATATTTATTACAATGAATTTTTGTTCAACATTTTAATTTCAGACATAATTATTTGGAATAACTAATTTTATTAAACTATGTGAATGGATTGAAATTTTGTTATATTTAAAAATGGAGAGAGTATAGTAATAAATAAATATTTCAATGGATCATCCAATTAATGTATTGATTACACCGCTGAATTCTTACATTATATACGCCACATCTGAAATGGAAGAAAAAGCCATGCACGTCTCCTCAGAAATCGGTCCTTCACGTATAACAGTATAAAATTATCTCTTCAGATTAAATTCGCAACATAAATTAAAAATTTTATTGCTTTTGATCGCAACAATGGCCGGAACTATTGAACCATTTACAAAGTCCATAAATAGACATGTGAATTATAATTATATAAATCATTGGAAAACAATTGCGTGACCTGATGAGTTTTTTTATTTTTCCACATATATTTTCTTAAACTACTAATTAAACATGAAAGGTGCATGAAAATATAATAGAGTTTAAAGCTAAATATGAAAAAAAATAAATGAGTATTGCAACAACAACAAAAAAACTCAAAGGTGGTTCTGGAGCCAATAATGGTGGTGATTTTGTCACCACGGACCGCAACTTCAATGTATGCGTAGTTGTGTTGGTGGCTTCGGCGCTGGCACGAAGGGGAATTTTTGTCCACTAAAAGTCATTTCCCACAAAGGACTTTGTTGATTTTTTTTTATCCAAAATTTTAAGAATTGACAGTCATTTCCCACAATGGTGGTCTTGTAACTATATATAAAAATATTACAAGTAATTTATAAATTTAAAAAAAAATAATTTAAACTGTTAATATTTAAAAAATAATTTATAAATTTTGAATGAATATTTATAAATAATAATATTTAAATTATTAAATATTAATATACTTAATATTTTAAAAATATTTATTAAATTTTATTTTAACAAAACTTTATGGTACCCAATGCTCTTAAAAAAAAAATTTTAAGATGTTTAACGCTTTAAAAAAAGTTTAGGAGACTTGATAGAAGTCTTACATGTCATTATGAATGGACACCACTCGCATGCCACATCAATAAAAAATAAAAAATAATAATAATGATTAACTAATAGAAGGAGTTTTTTGCTCCTCAAAAAAATAGTTCAAGGATAAGTAATTTATCAGTATAGGGTGTCCAGCACTCCTTAAAAAAAATTTAAGAGTAAAAATGCAACTCGACCCCATTTTTTTAAATAAAGAGAAAATTTCATCAATGAAAACTATTTAGAATATACAAAGGATAGCGTAATAACCCAGAAAAAAATATTTTTAAAAATCTATAATTAGGTAAGTTAATGATATTTATATATATTTTGGAGTCAATTTGTCAAGTAAACTAATGACTAAAGTGGTAAGCATTATTGATCTTAAATTCTAGATTCGGTTCCTTTTTTCCCCCTTACATTCCAGTCATTGAGAAAATTATCGTTTTGTCCCTGGCACAAACAGATTCCCCCCCCCCCCCCGCCCGCCCCTTTTTCCCAGACCAAATGTTAGGATCTACCTCCAATAAGGGATGAGAGAACTAGAGGATTCCAGAAACCTTCGCCTCTATCCTTCTTCGTTCCAACATGTCCACTGGCGTGAGTGTGCAATTACCATGATTGGCTGTTGCTAACGGTCCAAGTTGTGCGTTGTCTTCTCCATCTTGTTTGGCAGCGTTAACTGTTGCTAATATTCGTCCGTTCTTCATCCGCATCGCCGAATGTTCTTTTTCGCCCCTGCTCTTCTCTGTTTGTGCGATGGCTTCCCTTCTTCTTGCCTCAAGTTGCTGCTGCATTCTGGGTGTGGCTATGGCTCTAGGGGCATCGGACTTCTTCCTTCTATGCTTCATGTCACCACTGTCTCCTTCCCCTCTTCGGCCATCAGGTTCCACTCTTTCTTTACTAAGCTACATCAGCGAACAAGTGAGTTGCCGTTCTGGTGCGACTGAGTGCGTGCTGGATTCCTTTCTCCCTTATTGCGCCATCGACATTCTCTCTTTTTTTCCTCCAGCATTACGTGACAGCATGTTCATCTCCACCCTGTTTTTGAAATAATTGATCTGGTGTGCTGGAGCTTCAAGCTCTTCTCGTCGTTTCCTCAACTGATTTGGTGAGCTGAATCCACCTTTCTTCCTCTATTTCTCGGCTGTGTATATGTGTTGTTCTGTGTTGTCTAAAGTGACTTTGATTTCTTTCTTTGTTGAAGTTCGAATCAAGCCTTGAGTATTTGCTTAACCACTTGGTTAATGTAAGAGGAAATGGGTTCAGCTAACGTTTTTAATTTGAAATTATATTGGAAGAAATTGGAATGAATTTGAGGAGGAAGTAGATTGGAATTACAGATTAAGAATTACTGCTTATGAGGCGTTCGATGAAATGTTTGGTATATGATGACATTATATATGTGATTATTATATTGTTGATTAAGTGCTCGATTCTCGGTCGTCTCTGCTTCATGTGCTCATTCGCACCTCTCTTAATTCAGGATCTTGGCCTCTGCTCGTGATTCTTGGCTATCTCCTTCAGGAGTACAATGCTCAACGTCCCAGACGGTGTGTCTCCATTAACAAACTCGTTGCGTCACTAACGATATCCCTTTAAGATTTTGGCATCACTAAACGAACTCATTGAATCTCCGTCGAGCTCCTCATTCAAACAATACTCATTTCAGATTTGGGTGAATCTTGGAAGATGTGTAATGAATCTGATGAGCCAAGTGCTTCTAATTGTTGTTTTTTTGTTTTTTGCTATGATTCTATGATGTCAAATCTCTGCGTCTCTTGATTTTGTGGCTGTGTCTAAAAGTGTTGAATATTCTATTTTGAATCTTGGAACTTAGAAGCCTCAAATGGTTAATGCTCCAATTTTGGATCTTTGTTTTGTCGGCCTAAGCCCATATGGGCTAGCCTGCCAATTTCCTATCTCTACCCATGAGAGAGAATGAGAGAGAGAGATAGAGAGAGTTGGGGTTAGATATTTAATAGGTATTTAATATAATTTTTTTTTTCAAAAAACCTTGCAAGTTAGCCTTTTTCTTAAAAAAAAAATTACATAAACAAGCATTACATGGGTAGACACTTATGACATGTAATTACAATTGGGATGACCACCTCCCACTTACGGCAAGCATATATGCCACTAGGTTATAAATTTATTAGTGTCTAGACTTAGTATATCACATTATTTATAGACTTGAAATATTCTTGCATGGGCTTGATATACCACATCATTCATACTTTGTCCAAGAAAAACATGTTTTGTCAAATGGTTGCAAGATAATAAATTAAAGAGACACTTCATTTCAAAAATAAAGTTATTTTTAAAGTTATTAAAATTTACTTCCTCTGTTTTAAATTACAAAACACTTTGACAAAATCTACATATCAATAAAATTTATTAAATATACTTTACAATTTTATTTTTTTAAAATAAAAATATAAACTTTTAAAAATAACCTTCATTTAAATTACTAGTCACACAGTGATTATAGCGCATTTCTTATGAGAAAACATGTGACATCTACATATGTTACATGGTTATTCTCTCAAAGAGGACTTTTTCAATGTGAGACTTGACAGTTTCTGGATCAGTGTGAGCAACATAGTAAAAACTCTTAGTCACTGTGAGGAATGTCTTCTTCATGTTGATATCCATGCCATTAGAATTAGACAGAACCAGTTGCACCAGCTCTTGCATTTTCTGCCCTATTTCTGGGTTGGCCATATAGCTTCCATTGTTATTGTTTTCCTGAATTTTGAAACCAGCAGACATGTAAGGAGATAAGATAATCCCATTTATTAATGATGCCTAATGAAGTTGATAATTATAAAGTAATTAGTATTACCTTGGTGCTTTGGAGAGAATGTAATTGATGGCAGAGTTGATTAGAGACTTGAACCAGTCTTTGATATTGAGGATTGAGTTGTAAGTCATGAGACAGTTGACAGCCACCATTGATATTAATCATGTTCACCAACAGCTCAGCCTCTCCTTCCCACTTATCTCCTTCGTTTTGCCATCCCAAAAGCCACTTTTTCCACTGCATACATTCAAAGATCAACAATTCAGCATGATTCCAATTGAAATTACTCAATTGCATGCTATTTTATTGTCAAAACTCAAAAGTTGATGAATAATAGTTCTGTAACTACACAGGCTTACTGCGTCATGAAGAATATTGAAACCAGCAAAAGGTGGGCTTAGAGAGAAGGAATGCAAAGTTTCTATTAAAGTCCCCAAAAGCCCTTCCCTGCTCTTGTTTTTATTCAGCCATCTGCAACGCATAGAATAATCGACAGTTTTCCTAAAGTAACCATTTATACATGAGCAGATAGAAGTGTAATTACCGTTCATTTAAGGAGGTACTGGTGTTATTGAATTCATCCAGAAAGGCTTTTCTTTGGTGTTGGTCATGATATGTGGATTTAAGTGTGTGAATTAGAGCAGAGGTTTTGACCCAAGCAAGTCGTTCTTGAGATCTCTCAGGCTCAAAAATATTGGCTGCTGCCAAAAAGTAGGCCACAAGAAGCCTTTCTTTACTCAACCCGAACTTCTCTAGTTCACATTCTGAGTACCACCTGCGTGAAAAAATCACCACAACTTATTAATATTTCTGTCAGCCTGGAAAAAAAAAAAAACAAAGAAAGAGCGAGGTTTAGGCTTTTCTTACTCTTGAATTCTTTTCCATTCTACGCGATGCAAGGCTTGGCATTTGTTGTAGTCTAATTTCCCAAGTTCAAGGTTATCGTCATTGCTGACCTTGTGCAGTCTGCGAAAAGATGAAAAACCATTATATTAGTGCAGAAAAAAGTCTATTATATTTCAATGAATCTATATCAGCCTTAGATTGAGACTTTAGTTACCTGTAGAGGGTTTTAGAAATCCAGACATCATCTCCACCACCGTATTGATCCAAGTAAAATCTAGTCTCTACTCGAGGCAAGCTTGCATACCATGGAAAATCCAATGCATAACTCACCTGTTATTGGTTTAAAGAGCTTAATTCAATTCTTCATAATTAATTAATAAAGGTAATAATTATTGGGAACAAAACATATATATATATATATATACACACACACGTACCTCGCCAGGTAGATCCTTGGCTATGATCCATTTATCAAAAATCTGATTAGCAGCTCGTTTTTTGGATAAGAAATTGTTTGCGAAGTTGTTGCCTTCATCAAGAATAGTCTCTCCTGGGAATTGAACTTGAGTTGCTCTGTAAAAATTAAACATCACTGTTGCTCCTTCGTCTGTTTGCCCAGGCAAGCAGCCGAACTCACCGTCTTTCTCAAATGTTTTAAACACATCTGTCCAATATGACACCATTTTCATCTCTTGGCATTTTTTCTTTAATATGTGTCATAGTTTGATAAAAGATATTTATTGACATAAATCAGTAGTAACACACGCATGGTCATGTACTCACTAGCAGAAACATCATAGCCGTTTAATCTTAGTAGTCTGAATCCCATGGATGTATCATCAAGATCTGGCAACTCTGAATCTTTGGTCCATCCAATGCCCCTCTCATTCCAATTTCTGAAAATGTGTTACTGTTAGTACATATTGTTGTAAATTCTATTATTCTTTTTTTGATAAGGAAAAAGAGACTGTTATACCTGTGAACATAATCCAGGATGTCTTTAATCTTTGGTTGAAAATATCTTGCGATTCCCAAACGCTCCAATCGATCAACAATCCATAGTTGTTCGAAAAATTCTATGGGGTAGAAATCCGGGACTGCATGCAATTTTGGAAATTTGCATTCTCATGATCACCAAAAGGACTTTATTTATTTATTTGTTTATTTGTAAACTAGCTAGGTTGATATATATAGATGTACCTCCGCCGTTGAAGTTGTGAGCCACATTGTTCAAGTAATTGAGGCAGTGTGGGTCTTTGCTTTGGGTGAAAGCAAAAGCAGTGGAAGAGGGACAGAACAAGTAAGAGCCATCTTTGCTTCTCACTTTCTGAAGCTTTTTCCATTGAAGCCCTGGTATTGCTTCCAAGCTGAACAGCAATGATGTTGGCACACTGTGCAACACTTCCATCGGTATCCTATTCTCACCATAAAACAAGTAAAAAAAAAATTATGAGAAATTCAGTTACATCATTTTCAAATTGCTAGCAAGGTGTGATAATAGATTTTTTCAATGAAAAATTATAATTAAAGACTTCATAAAAATATTAATGATAATTACAAATTTTGAATTATTCAAATATCAATAATAGTCCATAATCCTTACTTGCAATTAAAAAAATTTAAATACTCAATTGAGAAATTAATAAAATACATTTGAGATTATTCATGACATCAATTGATAATTTATGAAAATTAGTTGTAAGTCTCAATTTTTTGATATCACTATACAAATAAATAATTTGAAAGTCAAGAAATACACTTGAGATTATTTGTAAAGTTAAATACAAATTTACGAGAGTCAATTATAAATCGCAAGCTAATCACTTCTAATTTTTTTGCTGTCAATATATATAGATAAATTGCTTCAAAAATCTACAAAATATACTTAGAGTAATGAGAGCAGGTTATGAGTCGCAAATTAATTACTTGTGATTTTTTAATTATTGCTTGGAAAATCAACAAAATATACTTGGAAATCTTTGTTGTGTTAGTTGGAAATTTATAAAAGTCATCTTGAATCTCAAGCTAATCAACAAAAAATAATTTATTGCAAGTAAGGATCATGGTGTCTTATTGAGATTTCAATAATTCAATATTTGTGATTGTCATTAATATTATTATGGAGTCTTTAATTATTATTTTTTTCTTTTTTCAAGTCAAAAAACTATAAGAACTAGCTTATTCTGAATCGAGAAAACTACAGAGACCTAATTAACTCCAAGACAACGTTTAGGACTTGGATTAATAATTAAAAAAGTTGATGAGACTGACTAGTAATTAAGTTTGTACCTTTTGAGCTTGGCATCTCTCCTTGCCAATATTTCTTGGAGGGCAGGGAAGTCATCAGGCAAATCGATGTTCAAACTTTTTGCCGATTGAAGAAGTGTTGGCAGAATCACTTCAAACCCACATGTCATGTGCTCTCTATTTTCGTTTTCGAGTGTGTTTACATTCTCTTTGAAGAATTTTAGCCCTATATTTATTTTAGATCAGTATACCAGATTTAGATGAAGTTCTCTATAGACCATAATAAATTGTTGTCTTGGAATTCAAACCATAATAAATAAATAAGCGTAAAATTAGAAAAGAAAATTAACTACTCTAGTTTTATCTTATATTAAGGATAAAAAAAGCTTTCAAAGTTTACCTTATATATTAAAAGGGGATTGTATATATATTAATTAGACAGGCTGGTGTTTTTTTTTTTTTAATAAAATGACTAGCTAGGGTATTCTAGAAAACCCAAAAAGAAAAAAATCTACGTCAAAAAAATTCGGCGAGTCAATGGTCCATATATGTTTGGAGATGTAACAACTCAACTGAAGGACAAAATTAATATAAGGAAAACGGACCTTTGTGCGCCTTGTCAGGATGAACGTTGTAGTGTGTTAAGACAACGACAGAAGCTAAGGTGCACAGAAGCCTATCATAAGCCACAAATATGTGAGCATCTCCCCAGGATCCGTCTGGAAGCTGATTGTCTATTATCCATTGAAGCGATTCTGGGAACTGGGGGGCCCCACTTCCATTCACATCTTCTACCAGAGCCATCAGTGCTGTGTGATAAGCTGACGGCGATATGCTCTGCTCTCCTTCATCTGACTCTAACCTCTTTCTCACCGCTTCCACTCTGTTTCTGATCACCCCCTCATTCATCGCACAGCGCTATTTCCAATTTCCAAAGCATGCATGGCATTTAGATTATCGTTTTCAATTAGAAGTACATATAACCTAAGGTTACAAGTGGGATCGGACAACTCATATGATAAAAATTAAGGGATGAGTTAGAATCTAATATTTAGTACATTGAAACATAATTTGTTGTAGGGCACTGTAGGATATACGATTAGACCCAGAGTCAAAAGGACCAAAAAAACCCTAAATTCATTGATTAAAATTTTTTCAAATGATTAAAAAGTCCTAAAGGCAACTGAAATTCTAGAAGATTTAAAAAAGATTCTTAGTATATTTGACTTAATTCAAGATACTCAAGCTCATGAATTCAATTAGTATAGTAAATATTCCTTGTTAAATTTAAAAATTAATTTATCTTATTTTAATTTCATATTTAAATTTAGGAAAAATAATTTATTTTGTTTTCAATTTACAAAAGAATAAAATATATCCATTAAAGATATAATCTATCCATTTAAAATCCTAAATTAACTAGGATTTACGTCATTTGAGTTTTTAAAAGTTTATTTAAACAGTCTAGCCTTTTATATTTTGTAAACTTGATTGAATTTATAAATTGAATTTTCTTTCAATTATAATTAAGGCTGCCTCAATTAGTGTCGTTTTCTGTGAAATAATACACCATGAGATTTTGGATCAGTGTACATTCAGTTGGCCAGTATCACTTTATTGGGGAGCTTACATGTAAACGCCATGAGGCTATAAGGCTATTTATTGGCTTTGGCTGGCAGTGAGATTAGTTATCTTACGTCAAGAAAGTCATAAAGTGTTTAACACTGTAAGAACGTACCTCCAAATCTTCACCACGTTCTTGGTTAACCTCATCATCAATCCCCTTATTCCAATCAAATGTCGGAAGTGTCAAGCCTTCCAGCCGTGGAACTTCTGGTGAAGTTTTTGGCTCTGATATGCTGCTGGTGCTTTTTGCTCTCAAGTCGGATTTTTTCTGTGAAACAATGACTTTAGCCTTCAACCGCGAAATCCCTGTATATATGTTCATATATTAATACAAGCAATATATAATGTCATCAAATATTAAACTTATACAGAGAACGATATAAACGTAAAGACAATGAAGAGATGAAGGTGAATTAATTAGAGTACCGGGAAAGGTGTTGTTAGAGGGATTGATGGAGGGAGAAAACAAGACATGGTGGGATGAGGAAGGAAAAGAAGAAAGAGACTGAGAGCAGTAATGGAGACACAAGGTGCATTGAGAAGCCATTAATGGTCTTCTTGCTGTGATATATGTTACTGGACTAACAACCCTCTTCCACTGAATATGGCTACGGCGATATTATTGATACGCCATTTATAAGGACGAGGGGCGTGGAAAAGCATGCAGCCCCGAATAGATTAAACATTGTCAAGTCCAAATTCTGCCCCGCTTTGACTAATGCTATAATTAATCATATATGAAGAAACGGGTCGTGCCCGTACGCACATATTTTAACTATGGAAAGATTATTTATGATTTTTCTAATTATTTGTTTGTCTTACAATCTATCCACGTGGCTTAATTGAATTCCTTTATCTACGTTTTGTTAAGGAAACCTAAATTAAATTCTTTAAGGAGAAAAATAATCTAATATAATGTTTTTTTTTCTTTTGGGTGGGCATGGACAAAGAATAACCTACATCAAGGGAGAGATAAATAAGGTTGGACATGTTCAAAGAATAATGTTTGAGGTGCCGGTAAAGAGGGTGGAATAAGCAATTTTAAGTCTTACAAAAAAAGATAGATAAAGATCAAAAACAAGGACGGACCCAAGTTTAGGGGCATTGGGACAGCTGCCCCCACTAAAACCAATTCCATCTCTTAGATTCAGTAAGGGGAGAATTTCACTTGCTCCCTTCAAAAAGTTATTGTTTGCCCCCCTAATTAAAATATTGCTCTTGCAGCAGTTGGATTTTTAAAAAATTTCAGTCTTCACCTGCATATATTCTCACTCATTCAATCAACTGACAAGGCAGTGAATGTTATTTGTATTCGTAATTTTGTAGGAGACAGAGAATAGAGATATCAATTTGAACAACTGAAAAGAATATTGGTTTATATTCTATACATATAAGAATGTAATAAAATATTATTTAATATTTTATTAACTTCTCGAATAAAATACTAATCTTTAGGAAAAACAAACTATTGATCATTTTAATTTTATTATGTTTTATTATTAATCCCCTATATTTTTTTTTTGATATTTTAGGTCCCTCTAATTTTTACCGTATGCAATATTGTTAGTTAGTTTCTCTACTTTTAAATACTTTCAGGAAATTATAATATGGCGCTGGCTGTATTAAATTATCTTATATGCAATTAATGGTGTTTGTGGAGATGCTTACATACTTAAATTAAAATGAGTCAACGATGCTTTTATTTTTTATTTTAACATCCAATACAAGATTTAATATCATTAGTAGTACAGGGGGTAGGGAATTGCGGGGACCAATAACAAAATACATAAAATTATAGGTACCAATATTTGTGTTTTCTCTTATCTTTATTTTCTAAAAGATAGTAAGATCAGATTCTTTAAGTTTTAATTTTTACTCATTCATATTCAAAGGTAACAATTTATAATAAAATAGAAAACAATTTTTTAATTGTTTATATTGAAAGTGTTTATTCTAAACTAGTATGATTATTTTCGTAAAAAAAAAAAAGAGTATCAAAGTATGATATTAATATAAATCAATATAAAGATAATTTTCTATTTTGATATTTAAGAGTGTCAAAGATCATCATTTTCAATGTAATTTTTCTTACATTAAGATAATTTTATTTTTTAAGTTATTATAATTTTATAGTAATTGTATTTAATTTTATGCATATTTAAAATTACATTTCAAATATATTAATTACTATTTATTTGACATAAATTTGCTTCCAGTAACAAAATATAAATTTGGTCCCACTAACAAAATTTCCTGGGTCTGTCCCTGATCAAAAGCACTCAATTAAATTATTGAATGAGATATTTCTTTTAACAATATATTTCAAAATTTGATTGTTGAAAAAGCACAATAACTTTTTGCAATTCTCAATTCATGTAGTCAATATCATCTAATTAGATAGATTTTATTATTGTTGTTGTTTAGAATACGAGAGCCTTATCACTCTCTCCAACATGGTTGGTAGATCAATGTTAATATTAATCAAACAAAATGACTTTGTGCTTTGTTATACTAATATATTATATATGCATATTGATTTTTGAAAACAAGATCATGTTTACTCCACTTTTTGTTTTTCTTTGTAATATTTCTTTATTTTCATACTTGTAATCATTTAATTTCATCATAAGATCTATTAGCTTTGCTGCTGTAGTAATAATCTTTAGTTGTGTATAAAAGCTTATAACATAAAATAGCTGTAAAATTATCTAATTATTAAAAAAAATTATTATTTAATATTTTTTTTGACGTATTCTTCGTCATTAAAAGAAAATTCAACAGTACTGGAAGAACATATCTGTATTTTTTTGACCACAACTACTTTTGTTCCCAGCCATCGAGGGTTGCGCCACCGTGCATGCCGTCTTCTGCACAATATAAACCTTGTCATTATATAAAGACAAAACCTAGTGGCAATGATGACAAGTCTAAATTCCATAATTTTAGGTATAAATTATTATTATTATTATTATTTTATTGCAAGATCTAAAGTCCATACCTTTATATATAATAAAAAGTTCTCACGCATGAAGGGATTGGGGGGAAAAAGATAGAAAAGTAAATGGGGTAATTATCGACACCGAATTTTTCCATATCGAGCGTCAGCCATCAAGACTTTTTGCAGTTTTGAACAGAATTTAAAAACTCACAAATTTTAATAGTCAATATATAATACATGCGTTTGAAATCAATGAATCTTCAATTTTATATATAACGATAAAACTTCTCACCTATTGAATTTTCTCACATAGGATTTCTTTGTAAAAACATTATATAATGGAAGATGTGATCATCCTTATGCATACTAACTAACTAGTTGAGTTTATTTTGATTCCAAATTTTTAGATAGGTTAAGTTTGAAGAATAAGTGTTTTTCTCCCGGAAAATAAAAATGAATAATTTTGGTGAGCATATAATCGAATGAAACAGAAAAATAAAAATAAAAAAGTTCGGAAACAAGACAAAATTACTATAATTTGTGTCTTTAAATCAAAAGTGAAAGAGATAATTATTGCTCAATAAATATTATATATCTGTATTTTAATGACGAAATAAAATTTAGAACCCCATTTGTTTTAGCTTTTTTCATGAAAGATCAGTTATTTTTTAAAAAAAATTTATTTTGTAGGTTTTTATTATGTTCGTTTAAATTTTTAAAAATAATCAGAATTTAAAAAAAATTAATTATTGTAAGAAGCTACTTTGAGTAGCTTTTGAAAATAATGTAATGTGATAAATAAAAAAAATATTTTAAAGAGATGGAATACACAAAAATATCATAATATAATAATAAATAATCTTTATAAAACAAAAATAAAAAAATTATAAAATTTAAAAATAACTTATTAATAATTATTTTTTAATTATTGTAACCAAACATAAAATAATGTATTCTTTTTATAAAATCTTTACAAAATAAATTTTTTTATAAAATCTTTAAATTATGTAAAAATTATTTATTTTTTAATTTTAAACAAACAAGCCTTTAATTGCCAATAGCACCTGGCTTTGATGGGTTTGAAAATTTTAACCTATTATAGTTTAAGGAATAGGTAAAAGAATAAGAAAATACTGAAGGCCCTTTGGTTTTGTGAAAGAAGGGGAATAAAATGAATTGAAATATTAATCGCCATGAATTTATTTAATTTGATATTGACAAATGTTGGAATGAAATTAAATTTCTTGTTTGATTGAATGCATATAAAAGTGAAATTAAGGATGAGAACACCCTTTACAGTAATAAAAAAATAAATCACACTTATTTTGTAAGGTTCTTCATTTGGAACTCATAAGTCATGACAATATATCCTCCTCTCGAAATGTTAGTTTTTTTTTTTTTTGGGAATGGGCCCTCCTTTTATATTTATTATATTCATCACACAACCAAATAAGCAAGTTGGATTAATTACTTAAAATTAAGCTTCCGAGTATCCAATCAAACTGGTCCTAATAGCACTGGCTGTGCTTTTTATTATTCAAAAAAATAGATTGCATAATTAAAAACTAGATAGATTGCATGGATCTCGATCCATTCATTTCTTTTCATTAATTTAAATATTTTCATTGGAATTTCAAACCACTGCAATTTTTTTAATTTTTTTTCAAACCATTGCAATTTTTTTAGTTGTTTTTCAAACCATTGCAATTTGCAAGCACATTATAATAGGGGAAATGACTTTTTTTATATAGAATAAGAAGAATAATGTTGCTGTAAAACCCAAAATCTTAAACTATCAATTAAATATTTTGATATATTTTCTACAAAAAAAAAAAGGCTTTGATACGTTTTGAAAAAATAATAATTGATAGAGTATCGCTCTCAATTAAGCATTCATTTGCCAAGCTATTAGGGGATGCTATCGTAACCTAATTAGCGAGGCATTACTAACATTTGATTAATTGATTAACTAATAATAAAAAATTAAGCATTTATTTCATAATCATTTTTATTCGGTCAAAATCGATGTTCCGCTAACAAAGATATGTTGGGTCGTACTCATGCTTTAATTAGTTAGTTATTTTCTTTTGTCCGTTCCTCCATTTTCTTGCGGTCAACTTTCTGCGCAAACGCATGGATCGGCGAAACCAGATGGTTTTTTTTTTTTAAATGATAAATAATATGTTGGTTTATTTTTTTAAAAAAATAAAAATAGTTTTACTGTCTGGAAAAAAATAAAAAGATAATAATATTTACTCTAATTAAACATTTCAAAAAATTCAAAAATACATAAAGTGAAATCATATATCATTGGCAATTTATAAAAGATTAGGATAAATTTTTAGATTTATAAAATATACATTTGATGGTTAATATACTTAACATAGCATTAATAATTAATAAATATTATAGGAAACTTACATAATCAAAATTAAATTTACTCAATAAATTGATTAATTTTTTTAATAATATAGTTAAATAGCCTAACATATCCGTATAAATGCCAAGTTTTAGGTTTTGTTTTTCTTATTAAAAATTTCACATTAATCATTAGTTAATAATAAAAATATTTGTCTAAACTGATAAAATACATCTTTTATTTCTATTTAAAGTACTAGCGAGATATTTTATTTATACATGTATTTATGCTGTGCATG